GGGCGGCGGCCCGGGGTTGGGCGGGGCCGCCCCGTCGGGGTTCTGCAGGGCGCTGATGTCGAAGGCCTCCGTGTCCTCTTCGCCGCCGCCCTCGTCGTCGTAGGTGATGATGTTCTCGCGGACGTCCTCCTCCTCCAGCACCATCAGCGCTTCGTGCTTCTGCCGCCGCAGGGCCGCGAAGAGCACAGCCAGCGCTGGGGGAGGGGCGCACAAGGCCGCTGAGCCCGCGGCGCCCCGGAGCGCGCCGCCTGCTTCCGTCCCGGGGCCGCACGCGGCTTGGGAGACGGAGGAGCCAGTGTGGCCGAGGGGAGGCGAGACCCGGGTTTAAGCCCTGGCAGGCCTCGTTTGAGGCCTGACTTCATCCCGCACTCGCCGTGTGACTGTGGGAAGTTGCTTCGCTTCTCTGAACCTCTGACCCTTAGAGGGCTGGTGTGGAACACCGGGAAAACGAATTTCCCTCTTAGGGCTGTTGAAAGGATGACACGAAATAGCACAAGTGATGCGCCGGGCACCACGCACCGTCCAGAGTCAGGCTTCAATAACCAGTTTTTACGGCCTGCTGCTGTCACTGCGGACTGGTAATGCCAGGGCCGGAGGCCGGAGCTCTTCTCTTGGACACACGAGGGAGTGGGAAAATCCGCGCACGGGCGCATCCTCTAAGCCCCGGGGTGGAGTTCCCTAGGTCCAGGGCCCTGGCCCCTCTCTCCAGCCCCTGCAGGCTCCGGCCCCACATCTACGTGCCAAGGTGGCCCGACTCACCGAGCAGGGTGCCCACACAGGTGACGATGGCAAGCAGGGCCCCAGTGCTGAGCCCAGTGGGTGAGAGCTGAGCCTCGGGCCGGCAGGAAGCCACGGAGCCATCGGGCCGGCAGCGGCACACGCTGACTGTCACGGTGGCAGTGCTGCTCAGGGCTGGCTGCCCCCAGTCCCACAGTGCTATGGGAACCAGATAGGGGGCCTGGCGGGGCGGAGCAGGGCGAGAGGGCAGCAGCAGGCTGGCGGAGCCATCTGTGGGAGAGGGAAGGTGTCGGGCCCCCTCCTGAGACACCGTCCCTTTAAGGGTCAGTGCGGCCCAGGGAGACAGCTTCCAACGGGGAAGGTTGGCAAAGAGCAAATGTGTGCACGTCCACATCTACCTTCTGTTGGGTGGAGGGCCCAGACGTGTGGGCAGGGGTGAGGCTGGGCTAGGAGGTGGGATGGGAGGAGGAGAGCAGGGGGGCCACCCACCTCGGTTGTCTCGGACAGTGAAGTTGGCATCGGGGCCCAGAGGACCTTGAAGGGAGACACGGCTACTGTTGCCCACCTCGTCTCTGTCCAGGGCCCGGATGACCTGAATCAGCTGGCAGGAAGAAGAGAGGCCTTGTATGGAGTGGGCAGCTGGCGGTCTTAAGGACCCGAGCCCTCTGCCTCCTTGGCTCACCTGGCCGGGGGCTGCAGAATCACACACGAAGGTGTCGTAGGGCTCAGCCAGCTGGGGAGCGTTGTCATTCTCGTCCAGGATCTGGATGGCCACTTGCACACGGGAGGCCCGTGCGGAGCTGTCTGAAGACAGAACATGAACACATACATGCCCCACGCACACACAACAGTTTACACACAACACACATGGTGCGTGGGTGCGGATGCTCCATGTAGCGCACAGCATACACATGCAACACGCGGTATATGCATGCAACGTGCAAGTAGCAAACGGTGACGTGAAACGAATGGAACACCGAGAGCGTATGACAACATTCACGTGGTAGCCAAGATATGTGCAGTGTGGAACACACCCTCCACAGGGGCGGGGCACCCACGATATGCATACAGGATAACCCACATGCACGACACATGCACCATAAATGAAAGGTAGACGGAAGGTGCATACAGGTTGCACACAGACAATAGTCATGAAACAAACACATTCATACCGTATATTCAATGTACACTCAGCATTTAAAACAAATACAACATACATGAAGTGGGTGTTGGATAGACACAGTGTATTCAGTGTCACCCCCCAACCCGGGGTCGAGAGGATGCATTTTCATACACAGCACCAGCGAGACAGAGACAGACAGACAGACACACACACACACGCCCCATCAGCGGTCGGAAGGCCACGGAATAGCAGTGAGTAGCACTTAGAGTTGGCCTTGGGGAGCCAGGCCAGCCTGGGTGCCACAGCCAGACACAGGCCCCCTTCTTCATGCAGCCCTTCATCAGGTGGCTCCCTGTCATTACCCTGACTTGCTCCTCACTGCCAATGCCATCCAAGAAAGAATGGAAAACAGGTATCCCTGCCCACCCCGGAGCTCACCTCTGCTGGCTGAGCCTCCCAGATTCTTTAGTCCTCTCCCAGGTGGGGAGGGAGCTGGCTGGCCCCGGGGAAGGGGCCGAGGTCCCAGCCTGGGCAAGGGAGGCTGAGTGGGCTCCCTGGCCAAGGGTTCGGGGCTCCATTCCTTCTCGGCAGTATGGGCCCAGGGCCTGCTAGGTGATCTTGGGGTTTGCTGGAGAGCAGGATTTGGTGGGAGGGTGAGAAGGCAGGGAGGGAAAGACACGCACACCCACGACACAGATGGCTGGCTACGTATACACAGGCAACTGCAAACACTATATACACACAGGGACATTCACACGGACGGGCACACGTGCAACACCATGTAACACACAGCCACGGGGCCAGAAACATGAGCCCATACACATAAACTGCTACACGTGAGAGGCAACACGGTGGAGGGATAAGTGCTCCGACTCCGCAGCCTTACGGGGTCTCATGGCTCTGCCCCGTCACATCGTCATGACCTTGGGGAGTTACTTAACTTCTCTTCGGCCGAGTTCCCTTATTGTCGAATGGGGAAATAACCATACCTCCCTCATAAAGTTGTGGTGGTGATTACATTAATTGATCCACATTTAGTACTTAGAACAGTCCCTGGTACACAGTATGTAATAAATTCTCTGGCCACGAATACTCACATACACAAAATGACATACACAAACAGCTACCTGTACCTATCCTTACACACACCTAATTACACATTCGCACAAATATTCTACCCACTCAACTACACACACACACACTCCATGTGTGTATATATGTATTGTCACACACATGGAATTGTACACACACGTGGATACACACATGTACACATACATAGAGCTCTCTGCTGCCATGTACAAACATCTACGCACACAATGACAGTTCCCACAGATGGGACACAGACAGCAAATGTAGGAGGCCCTGGGGCGTAAGCAGGAGTGATAAGGGGAGGTTCACAGAGGGGACGGAGGTCTCCCTGCCTCCGTGGGCCAGGGCCGCCCAGAGGCAGCCAAAGCATGCTGCTGGTGACTGGGGGCTAACAGGGGCAGGGGATGGCCCCTCTCCCCTACCTTGAGGGCTCTCTGCAGGGTGTCCCTGGGAGGGGCTGCTGGAGCCCCCCAGTCAGCCTCCAGAGGAGGGGCCCAGCCCTGCCCTGGCCCCTGGCTTCAGCCTGAAGCGGACAGTGAGCAGGGCAGGGTCTGCCAGGGTACAGATTGGGGCTTCCTAGGGCTTAGGAGCTATTTGAGAGTAGGTTTGTTTCCCAGTTGGGGAAAGTCAGGTATGGGAATGAATTTAAAGTCAGGAGAATGTGCAGGCAGATCCACTGTGCCCAGGCCAGCCCAGCCTCAGAGACCAGGAGGCCTGCCTGGTGGTGGCGATCCAGGCTGGGAAGCCAGCGCTGTACACTGGTGAGGCATGGTGGCAGTGACTGCCTCCCCCCTCCCTGCTCAGGGACAGCTCCTCTGCAGGTGGCTGCTCGCCTTCTCCCTCTCCTGGGGGCCTAGGGCTCCTCACCAAGCTCTGTGGCCAGCACTGTGAGGTTGTGCCAGATGCGAGCCTCGCGGTCCAGGGGCACCACTGTGCGGATGGTGCCATCTTCGGGCTTGATGGAGAAGCAGCGCTCTGGATCCGAGTGGGGGAGGATGGAGTATCTGGGGAAGATGGAGCGGAGCTGGGGGCTGATCTGGGGGCAGGGCCAGAGCTTGCTGCTACCCCTCCCTCCCTTCTGTTCGCCTTGCTGGGCCTCTTGGTTCTTCTGGGCAGAGGGCCCGAGCTCGCTGGGCTGAGCCTGCCCCGGGTACCCAGAGCCATAATTCACTTTAGGGTCCCCTTAAGAGACAAGTCGCGGGCACCTGGGTGGCTCAGTCGTTAAGCGGCTGCCTGGGATCGAGGCCCGCATTGGGCTCCCTGCTCGGCGGGAAGCCTGCTTCTCCCTCTCCCACTCCCCCTGCTTGTGTTCCCTCTCTCGCTGTCTCTCTCTCCATCAAATAAATAAATAATAAAAATCTTTAAAAAAAATAAATAAATTTAAAAAAAGAGACCAGTCGCTTGGGGAAGTTACCAACATTAAATAGCTGTCCTAAGACTCAGGGGGACTGGGTTTCATGGTGGGGGTGAGACAGAAAGAGGTGGAAGTGGGGGTAAACAGCCTGTCTTTCTGACTTCTGGGCTCTATTCCAGGGACCCAGGGACCCCAGGCTTGCTCTGCCTCAGACCAGCGGTGTGATCTTGGGTGAATCGTTTAACCTCTGTTTACTTAACTACAAAATGGGAACGACACCAGCACCTCCCTCATTCCTGTGACGGGACTGCTGAAAGGTGGGAAGAGTGGCTCTTCTCAAGGCAGACAAATCTGCATGCAAGTCCCAGCTCTGCTGCTTCCTGACTATGTGACCTTGGACAAGGAACTTAACCTGTCGGGGCCTGGCCTCTAAAACAACTGGGGCTGATCGTGCCTACTTCACAGGGCTGTTGTGAGAACTGAATGTTACCGAGTGGGTATAATGTGCAGCGCTGAGGGACTGACCAACAGGGGTGGCCCGCCCTCCAGCACCACTCATCACATGAGTCTGCATCTGCCCGCACCGTCACTGGGAGGCGCCACTGCTATCCTCCCAGAGGGATGGGTGGAGCTGGGGGGCGCGCAGGGTGCTAGCCCCGACCTCCAGGCCTTCCCTGGCCCTCAGCCCTGCAGAGAGGGAGACCTCCACCAGGAGGTGAGTGGGATTTTCGGTGAGGGGGGCCCATCCTCGGTGGGGCTAGCCTGCCACTGGGCTCGTTCCCTGAGGCCCTCCCCTTCCCCTGCCCACACCCCAGCTCACCTGATTGGGCTGGCTGAGGAATCCAGGTCTGCCGCTGAGACTCGGCCCACCAGCGTCCCAGGAGCTTTGTTCTCAGGCACCGCCAGGTGGTAGGCAGCCTGGGTGAAGGCAGGCGGCTCTGGGGCGTCCTGCACGGCCACGCGCACGGAGGCCACGTCCTTGAAGGGCCCTCGCCGCAGGTAGGCTGGGTCGATGAGGGTGTTGGTGGCCTCCACGCGGAAGGAATAGGAGCGTCGGGTCTCGAAGTCCAGGGGCTATGGGGAGGAGAGGTGGAGTGACTGGGGCACGTGGAAACCAGGGCAGGCCCAAGCTCCCGGAAGGTGAGAGGTCCCCTCCCCACGCATCCAGTGCTCGGCCCACCTGAGACGAGAGGTGGGCACTGACGGGCAGGGGCCGCAGTGGTCAGGGTGAGGCAGATGACTTAGTCTGTGACCCTAGGTCTGCCCCCAGCTCCATCATAGACTGGCTACACGAAAAGTTCTGAGCCCGTCTCTCCCCCTTGCTGGGCCCCAGTCCCTCATCTGAAAGAGGACGAGACGACCATGATCTCTAAGCTCCAACCCAGTGGTCCCGAGTCTGTTAGACCAGTTAGGAGTGAGCCTCGTGGGGCACGAGGCAGGTAGGAGTGAGTGTGCAAGTGTTCGCAGACAGAAGGCTAACCTTGCGGACAGCGAGGAGCCCGTCTCGACCCTGGGAGTCTGTGCTGATGCTGAAGGCTTCGGACCCCTCTCCGTCCAGGATGCTGTACGCCATGAGGGCGTTGTCCCCCAGATCTGGGTCCTGGGCTCGCAGCCGGCCTACCAGGGTGCCCGGCCCAGCCGTCTCCACCACAGAGAACTGGTATAGGCCTTGAGGGGGGACGGAGGGGAGACATCTTAGGTCCCTAGCCCTCCTCCCTCTCCCAGCACTCCCTTCTCCTGGGGTCTGGCTGGGGGAGGGCTGGAGAGGGGAGGCCTCCCCAGAAGCTGTAGAGGGTGGGGGCAGGCAAAGGATGGCTCCGGTGGGCCACCGGCCCCTTACTCTGAGGGAACTTGGGGGGGTTGTCGTTGACATCGCTGAGGGTGACCGTCACCGTAGTGCTGCCCGACAGCCCCCCCACGTGGCCGCCCATGTCCTTGGCCTGAATCACCACCAAGAACTCCTCCTGCGTCTCCCGGTCCATGTTGGGGATGGCAGTACGCACCACTCCTAGGGAGAGACACGGGTCAGGGGCTGCCTGTTCGCATGGCTGCCCCGCCAGGCTCCGAGCTCTATCCTCACCCGTCTGGGGGTCCACAGAGAAGAAGGGCAGTCCATCCAACACAGTGTACACCAGCTTGGCGCTGTTCCCGTAGCTGGGGTCATCGGCATCGTGAGCAGTCACCTGGATCACTGACGTCCCTGTGGGGGATCCCGGCACCCCACTCAGCAGGGGCAGGGCCAGGTGGGAAAGAACAGCAAATGAGGGGGACCCAGACACGAGAGCAACGCGGGAAGGAGAGGTGAGGGTGCTCCAGGAGACGGGCTCTGGGATGGTCAGAGTTGGGGTACTCACCGACATTGGACATCTCGGGCACTGTGGCGTGGTAGGGCCCGAGGGGAAAGATAGGTGGGTTGTCATTAATGTCTTGCACCTTGATGATAAACTCTGACGGGGGCTCCAGAGGCCGGTTTGAGGCTCGGTCCACGGCTTGGGCAAGCAGCACGTACTGTGCCTTCTCTTCCCGGTCCAGGCTCTTGGTGACATGGATATTGCCTGTGGCCTCATCAATCACAAATACAGTGCCTGCCCCCTCCCCGGTCAGCAGGTACTTGGTGCGGCCCTCGCCCCTGTCCACATCCGAGTGCAGCTGTAGGGGTCAGGGAAAATATAGCAACAGGTTCCAAGCATAGGGACAGAAAGGTTAAAGAGTCTAAGTCTATGAGGGGGTGGAGTGTTGGGAGTCTTGAGGGGCCAAGGTCATTGAAGAAGTGATGAAGTTGCAGGGCAGGACCTAAGGGCCTCGAGAGTCAGGGCAGACCTGGGAAGGGCTGATCCTTACCTTACCAATAAGGACGGGCTCTGGACCGGCATATTCCTCAATGACAAAGAACTGGTTCCACACCCAGCTCCTTCGGTTCCGCAGCAGCACTGGTCCTGGGCCCCCCCGGGATCCTGCCCAGGCCCGGGCGGGGGCTGCCAGGCGCCCCATGCAGCCCCAGCCACCCAGCCAGGCCAGCAGGAGCCTCACCAGGCCCCACATGTTTGGGCTCCAGCCAGGGCTCTGTTCACTGTCCCTGGGTACTGAGGCATGAGCTGGCTGGGGCAGAAGGGCAGATGCGTTGGGGCTACCCCATGGATCCACACCTGTAGGACAGGTAGCTGTTCAGGGTCAAGGAAACCCTTAACTCTCCCCGGCCCCCAACTAAAGTTAGATACTGAAGATCAGACCTCCAAGGAACCAGACACCCCACTGCCCAGAACCCAGACTGAGACAGAGCAGACAGTCTGATCCTTCCCTCCACCCAGGCTCTGCCTGTATTCACCTCCAGCCCTACAAGCTGATAAATCTCTGGCCAGTCAACTCTGAGTAGAGAAGCTGGGGAAGAAAACAAGAGGGGGGATGCGGGGAAGGGTTGGAATCCCAGATCTGGCCCCTCTTCTCCCAGGTTGAGTATGCAGCCAGGGGGCTGGAGGAGTTGGGGACCACCAGGGAAAGGGCTTAGAATCCAGGGGCTGGGACTCACGGAGGTGTGGTGTCAAGGTGTCTGGGGTCAGGCTGAGCCATGACAAGGCGTGCAGCCTAAGACAGGGTTGAGAGCCTGTGAAAGTCCCTCCTCCAGAGGGAACCCCACCTCTCCAGAACCTGCCCCCAGCCCACACTGCCAGCTGAAGTCCTTGAAGGGGGACTGGGCTCGGGAGGCAGAGTGGCGGGGGGCCGGAGCCGAAAGAAGAGGATGTAAAGCTGGGGGCAAGGCCAGGAGGCTGGGAGAGGAGAGCAGAGACTACAGACTCAGTGTTAGTGATGGTGAGACCCAGACTCAGGCACTGTCCGGCGCAGACTGAGACAGAATGGCAGCAAGAGACACGAGGAAAGAGATCAAAGGAGGCAGCCTGGGTGTCTGACAGGCAGAGAGGAGTCATAGGTAACAGGCTGGGGAATGGTAGGAGGGGGGCAGAGGGGCTTTCTGGGAGTGATGAGCAGGCGGGGGGCAGCCCTCAGCTGCGGGGGTCAGAGCAGGCCCCGGGAACTTCAATCTGAGAGAGGGAGCAGCCAGGAGGGGCTTCGGGAAGGGAGCTGGAGAGAGGACCCTTCCCACTGCTGTCTCCTCCCTCTCCTCCTGCCGGGGAGGGGGGGACCCCCTCAGGTAGCTGTGGCTGCCACCCCTCCTCCCCCAGAGCAGACACACACCTGCCAGTCCTTTCCCTCCCGAGGGAAGAGGGAAGCCGGAGGGAAGCCGGGGACCAGAGCGGGAGGCGGGACGAGGAGGAGAAGGAAAGGGCTGGAGGAGTGGGAAACCGGATAGCGGGAAGGGAAGAGGAGGCGAGAGGGAAGAAACGGGGGAAGGAAAGGAGAGCGGGAAAAGGCAAAGGGAAAGACAGGAAAGGAAAGGTCGGGAAAGGAAAAGGCAAAGAGGAAGAGGAGGTGGAGAAAGACAGGGCAAGAGGGAGAGGGAAGGGGCAGAGGAGGCAAACAGGCAGAGAGAAGGCAGGGTGAAGAGGAACCGAGGGAGAGGAAAATGGGGCAAGGAGGAAAAGAGGTGCGAGGGAAGAGGGGAAAGAGGTAGAGCGCGGGAGAAGGGAGCCGGCAGTGGGCTCCCAGCCGCGGAGCGCACCGCTCTGAAGACACCCGCAGGCTGCGGGCCCCCTGCTGCCCCTCCGCGGGTTCCCGACCCCGGGCTCCGGGGCAGGCGCCCTTACCTGGCAGTGCCGAGGGGCCCAGGCCGGCGGGGAGCGTCCCCGCCCGCCCCCGTCGCC